TTCCATGAGATGTTCGTTTCCTCAGAAAGTTGGTCAATGGTCTTTCGACGATCTTCATCAATTGCACGTTTGATTTTGGCAATGTTTTCGTCATTTCTTCCTGTCGAAGGACGCCTGGGGTGTGGCATGTCTTCTGTTGACATGTTGCCAGATTTGAAACGGGAAAACCACTCGTAGACCTGTGATTTCCCCAAAGCATCATCATTAAAGGCTTGCCGAAGCATCCCAACAGTCTCGGCTGCAGTTTTCCCTAACAGAAAGCAAAATTTCACGCACACTCTTTGTTCCTTCTGGTCGGCCATCTCACTAATCGCCAAAGGGTTGAAACAGGAACGCACACAACAGAGCACCACAGATAAACCACTTAACTCAGACTGACGCCAGCTCACTAACAGTCGTGGGAGACCCCCAGCTAACACCACCTAGCAGCACAACTCGTAACTACAAAGCATGCGCGCGCAACAGGTCGGTTCCGGTTATTTTTGGGTCCCCCTTCATATTACATAAAATATACTGGAATCATACAGCATATAAAAAGGCAACGGAAATATTCTAACTTAAAGCACACATACAGGCATCAATTATTCTAAAAGGAATTCAAGGTCATGTCTCAATGAGATAATATGAATAGAAATAACAAATATAGACATGAGCACATGTATAATGTGCGAAATGTCAGTATACTTCTTCATTTTGTGCCACCTCAGGTTTCGTTTCCACCGAGGTCTGCTCTTATTCTTCTAGACGTGCCTCCATCTCTTGGCAGGCCATCGTCTCTTTTCGGGTAATCGGCATAATTTCTTCGATTATCCTCTTTAGATTCTCTCATAGCTGTTCCTGGCTGGATTTCATGTTGTTGTCCATTCTTGCCAGGAAATCTTCTTGGGCGGCCAGCAGGCATTCCATCATTTCTTCCATTTCCATCATGTGGCGTGTTTAAGTTCGTAAACCAATTCTGACACCAAATTGTCATGTGTTGAGTATGTTACGCAACAAATAACTTTATGCCGTATTGAATATAACGAATTTATTCCACATTCGCTTGTACACTTATACAATTCACAATTACTGCCATCGGCAGTATCACAATTACTTCCACTGTTCTCGGCGACTTCACGATCCACATACATACATAAATCATGTTGTATCAATTCTGCTGCACTGTATCTTAAAGAATATCACTTTACTGTACATCTGTTCTGGAGAATCACACCAGATAAACAGCAAAGTAATAATCAATAATACTGGATAACATAACAAAGTTAATCATTTATTACTTCAGGATAAATCATACGTGGAGACCATGTAGAAATACATTTATCATTGCTGAAACTGGTATCTAATTTAAATACCAAAACTGTTCTCTGGTAGCAGAATGTTAATATGAAATCCCACAAAGGGACATCCGTCTGAGCAAGTTCTGATCACCTGCCTTCCTCAGACTTATGACAAACCTTTCTTTCTAGAAATCCAAATTGAACACTTCAGAGAAATGGTCTAAATGTTCAGTCAGTGGACTCTCATCAAACAGGGAAACAGTCCAAAGAAGAGCAGCAGACATACATGGACAGAAATATTGTTACTTACGAGCTTGAGTGGAGGCTGTAGATTGGATCTGATATGAAAAAACTGCTCATCATTGAGAGAACAATCAGGACAAGAATTGGCAACATCTGTAGAAATACTGTGTACCCGTTGGCTTGCTGCTGCAATAAAGAAAAAATACAGATCTTATTAACCCGTTGCCGTGGTTCGACGTGTATATTTCGTCAGGGATTTAAATCGTCTGGGGGGGGTTCGACGTGTATGTTTCGTCCAGCTGCACACGTATGTTATAACGCCCATAATAATTGATGGTTTTGCTGTAGATTGTTAGATTTTTCACTGGCCTGTTGTCAGGAGGACTGTATTTAATGACACACGCGTTTAAGAGCGCTAAGTCGTCGTTACATATGCCTGTCTTGCAGCAACGTTCCTGTGGCTATTGCGAGCTGTTTCTGTTATGAATGATGTGTTTTGTTTGCTCTGAAGCTATAAACACCAGAGACGGATATGTGCTGGTGTTTATAATATCATATTGCCCTGAGCTGGNTATGATTTGGATGGAAACCCCCAAAATATTTCCTAAATACAGAATTTCACTATATTTTTGAAGAATGGAGACATCAGAGATTTGACCTGAAAGGATCAGACAATGCTGTGTAGCAAAGCCTTCCCAGTCACTCAACCAAGGACACAAAGATGGTCTGTTGGGGCAACTGTCAACTGAGTGACTCAAGTAGAGGTTGGCATATTTTGCTGATAATAAATTCTTGTTTGATAAAATAAAAAAAAAGATGCACTTTACGCAGTTACATGTATGATTTTGTTTGAATTGCCAAAGTATTTACTTTGCACCCTCCAGAAGGTACGTTGAGAACATCTGATAAGTTTCAAGTTTTCTGAATTTCATATGAGATTTGATATATTGGTCTCACATTGCACAGTGAACCCAATGTAATACTTAATGCCACTACCATAATCGACGTTCAATTTTCACGTTGATAATAGCGTGTTAAAATGAAGTCTGTTTAAAATAGCTTCACTGTAGCCACACTTTGAGGGCAATGACAACTGTGTATCAGTCAAAGTTGAGACAACATTTCAGTATTTCAAAATGAGACCCCCATTCCAGTTTTACTGGCACATGCATTCAGAAAGCATACCTCTCTGTTCTGAGTGTGATTCTCTGCACGCTGCCATCGGCCTCCCCTCCTCGTGTAAACGTTCTGATTGTGGAATCCGCCTCCAAAGAACATGTTGAAGAGCTCTTCTGCAGTAATATCAGCTGTAAGGACAAAAATAAAAATATGTCAATCAGTTAACCCTATATACTGTCAAAATGAATTACGTAAAAATAGGAAAAGAATTGTTCCTTGCATTCCAGCATACTTAGCAAACGTTACATTATCTGTCTTAGAAGTACAAGGTTTAACTTCAATTTACACATTTTTCTAGTAATTATTATAATGGAATCATTGGACAGGCCTTTAACAGTAAGAATCAGAAACTCATAGCAATAACAAAATTACTCTCAGAGATATCATGGGAACATATCACTTCTTTTTTTAGAGAATAAAGTAGGATAATAATGACGACACTTGCTTATTTCATAACAGCTCATTACTCTTTATAACACTAAAAAAACTTATAACATGATCCTGAAAAGAACAGAAAATGTTTTCTTTACCTTGCCAGCTTAGTACAATAATTACCTTCAAATCCACGGGTGTAACTGTATTCACGATAACCACCATGATTGGATCTCTGAGACTGATGTATCCGATCTTCTTCCGAGCCATACATATCATACTGTTTCCGCTTTTCAGGGTCTGTTAAAATTGCAGCAGCATTACCAATGGCTGCAAACATTTAAAAAACGTTTCAGACTTTTAAAATGTTTATATAATGGGATTGATTGCTTTATGGATTTACTTACTTACTTACTCATGGAGCTAAGCCCTTCTGGAGGAGCCGCCAATTCTGCAGCTACTCAAGAATTTCTCAGCATTTTATGGAACCCAAAGGTTCATTACCATGTTCACAAGATCCCTCCACTGGTCCCTATCCTGAGCCAGATCTATCCAATCCATACCATCCCATCCTATCTCTCTAAGATCCATTCTAATATTGTCCACCCATCTACGAATTGGTCTCCATAGTGATCTTTTTCCTTCTGACTTTCCCACCAATGTCCTGTGTGCATTCATCTTCTCCCCCATTCGTGCTACATGACCTGCCCACCTCATCCTCCTTGACTTGCTCATTGTAATTATACTTGGAGAAGAGTACAAGTTATGAAGCTCCTCATTATGCAGTTTTCTCAAACCCCCTGTCACTTCATCTCTCTTCGGTCCAAATATTCTCCTCAACACCTTGTTCTCAAACACCCTCAGTCTATGTTCCTCCCTTAATGTCAGAGACCAAGTTTCACACCCATACAGAACCACAGGCAAAATTATAGTTTTGTATATTCTAATTTTTATGTTTTTGGACAGCAGACGAGAAGACAAAAGGTTCTGGACTGAATAGTAGCAAGCATTACCCAAGTTCAATCGCCTCTTAATTTCCTCCTGAATCAGGTTTCGATCTGTTATCGTTGTTCCAAAATATCTGAACTGTGCCACATTTTCAAAACATCTGTTTCCTATCTTTATGTCATGATTTTGCCCTGCATTTTGGTGACAAGACAGTAACATATACTTAGTTTTCTCTGTGTTTACTTCTAGACCAACCTCTTTACTTGCGTCAATTAAAGTTTGTGTTTTTCTTTATGGTATCTACATTATCACCCAGCAGATTCACATCGCTTTATGGATTATCACACCATAATTTAAATTTTATGTAAATGGTATTTGCAAAGGAGGCAAACAGAATGAGAAACCTTTAAATGCTTCTGCAGCCCCAGGACACTTGTTCTTGTCTGGATGAAGCTGGAGGGCAAGCTTCTTATAAGCCTTTTTGATGTCGGTGTCTGTAGCCTCCTTGGAGACACCAAGAATCTCATAGTAGTCCTTACATGACTTAATCCTGAAACAAACAAAATTGGCTGCCTTCTCCAAAACACGATAAAAAAGATAATTTTTCAACCATCATAATCATACATTTGTTTTTCCCACCAGCCTTCTCTCTCTTCTCATATTTGTGTCCACTTTTTTTCATCCTCTCTTCTCCTTGCTCTCTCTATTCTCTGACTCTGGTTTCCCCACTGGTATTTTATTCAACATCTTCATTTCTTAAATTCTCATAAGAATCCTATTGTAACTCCTATTAGCACATGTCTGTGCCGATGCATCTTTCTGATAGTATTTCTGCTTTCAGATACTGCGCGTTGTCCTAATTTTATGTCATCCCTTCCTTTTCTTTTGTTAATATTCTGTAGAAACCACATCTCGGGTGCTGTACTGATGGACGATAAATAATGGACATTAAACACGTCTCTGGTGCTCGCAACATCCTACATGATCCGCATCCATATTTCCATTCCATATGCCAAAATACCTTAGAAGAATATTACAATACAAGATAATACTAATCACACTGAAATATCTCAATTATAAACAATGTCTGCATGAGTCTCTGAAGTTTCACAGCTCTACAGCTCTGTAGATGCCATGTAATATTAAAATAATATTGTAACTGTATTATGGTTAACATGTTTACTGTAATAAGATGTCTACGCAGTAGCGTAGTGGTAAAGGCACTATGCTACACGTCGGAAGGTCGCGGGTTCAAATACTGATGAGATGATTGGATTTTTTTCAATTCACCTAATCCTTCTGGCCACAGTATGGCCCTCCGTATTTCTTGTAAACAGGTGTATGTTATTTATAGTATGTTGCATCAAGGAATATATGTATTGAGAACACAAAGGCAGAATTTTCATTTCCTTGAAAGCGTTTCTACATGAATCTCTTTTCTTTAATCCCATCATAATCTTTATAACGTTCTTCTGGATCATAAAAACTTTTGTTATGTGTGAAGAACTGCCCCGGAAGATAATTACATATGTCATCACAGAATGTATATAAGCAAAATAAATCATTCTTAAGCTACTTAATGATATCATAGGCTTAACTGTTCTCATAATAAAGCAAGACAAACTCAATTTAGTAACAAGGTAATCAATATGATTCTTCCAACACAGCCTATTATCAGTATTTAGGCCTAAAAATTTGATACACTCTAAGTCAGTCGGTAAATTTTGATCAATATTATTATGCATATTATGATCCTCATAGTTCATTAAAGTGAACTGGAGAGTGTGGGTTTTATGAATATTTAATTTTAAAAGATTGGTTCTGAACCATGTATTAATATTGTAAAAATATTCTGGTATGTATATCATATAAATAAACAAGTAATACTGACCTTCAAAATATTCATTGTCTAATAGTAATGTTTTAAACAAAAAATTTGCCATACCTACTACATTCAGCCTATGAACATTAAAAACATACATGGGCCTTCATAATTAGATGTCAGAAGACATCTGGGTATGAGTTTATACCATGTATGTAGAAAAAATAATGGAGAGCAATCCTGAGGAAGGCCAGGGCTCACAAAGGGCTGTCGTGCCAGTGATGATGATAATGATGATGATGATGTAGAAAAAATATGTTATAGGAGTGAAATGAAAACTGTTCACATATTTTTCTACTCATTTCGGATTTTATGTGTTAATCATCAAGATACCTGATGGCTTCATATGAGAACTGCTCATATAAGATATGAAACAAACCATATAGTACCTTTTCACAGCTTCTAAATGTTCTTTGTTAAATTCTTTGTCACCACTTGCTGATGATTTGGATTGCTGCTGCTGTTCCTTTTGACGTGACTGTGTTTCTGGCTCTTTCTTTGGGACTGCCAAACAAGAATTAACATAACCCTATTTTACTAACGTATCCGTCAATAATACAACTTTAAAAATACATTAGGAATTCACTAAAAATACATTTTAATACTATGACAGTTAAAATCAATAATATGCCAATAGGCTATTATGTTAGCATATAAATTTACACATTAAAAGTGAATGTCCACACTCCTCAAGTCGTTTTGGTTTTACATAACTTATCTTCACAACATGTTTCGGCAATTTCAGCAAACATGTTAAAAGACAGAGGAAAAGTACAAGAAAGCCCAATAAGGATGATTAGACTTAAGGACACTCTGCACTTACACTGCAATCAGCACTAAGCACAGGACACTGACCATAAATAATGTTTCACAGAAAAACAGACTGAGCTGACTGATAATTATGCATGCAAACACCAACATTTCATTCAACTGATGACAGTTCTCATCATCTGAACATCAAACACGGAGCATGCAGGCTCACCATGTCTCTTTCTTGGAACATCATCTTGTTCTGCTTGAGGCTGTGATGTGTTTAAGTGTTCCAGAAGCTCTGAAACATTAGCAAATGACAATATTCAAGCATTTAAAAAAACACTGAACTGCACTAAAAATAAAGGACTGCTTTGGTAAAGTGTTTTCTTTTTAAGTGAACTATGACCATGATTTAATATACTATTATTCTTGTGGAAAAAGTCTCCAGTTACTGTTTATTCACCTTCCCAGGTCCCTGCAATGATGGACAGTCCATTTGTGAAGTGGAGGCACTTATGAAGTGAATTTCACTACCAGAGATGGTACTATAATAACAAGAAGTTCTGGGAAGAACTAATGGCACAGTAGCAATTTGCTGCTAGCCTTTGCCAGCATTCAGTCTTGGCTTCAGTCCCTGCTGGGATTCATGACCATATTTTTGGTCTCTCCTCTATGATAAGAGGAGGGGCTGGTCTTTTTATAACTACTCTGAACATAACAGCAATTTTATGACCACCATGGTCATGAACTCAGAATTACTTTCTTTGCATTACATATTGAGTATCTGATGTGACATGGACCACACAGAAAACACCATATCCAACAATTCTTCTATTACTGCATGTGTATTCACTGCCGTGGAAATGTGTTTACCGAGTCGTTGCCTAGCAATGTCCTGGGAACATGTTTATCAAGCTGTTACCTAGCAATTGCCCAGGAACGTGTTTACCCAGCCAATGCCTAGCAACAACCGGGGGGGNGCAAAGGGGACAGCACTATAAACATTATTTAATGCTGAAAGTACCTACCTTCAACAATTAATATATACAGATTTCATTAACAATAGAAAACTGAAACTCTGAAAAAAAAAAAAAAAACCTTCCTTCATGGATATCTACTTTTAAAGTAAAAATATTAAAAACTGGTGATCAAATGGATGATTGCACTGTTTCATTTGACATGGACCGACTCAAGAACAAGCTTTCTCTCTTAATTAGGGCCAAAATTATTGGCATTTTTGTGAATCAGAACAAGTGAAAATTGAAAGAAAACTTAACATTTCAAAAGCTGTGCCTATGCAATTAACGAATTACATACTGTCACTACCTAAGGAGACCCAATGAGTTTGTAAAATTCTATTAGAATCATCGATGGCCATGGAAATTTTGCTCCTAAACTGTGCTGATTTGACACAGCACGACTCTATGACACAGACATATTGTAACATGACAACCGTTCATGCAAAATGTCAGCATTCTGTGCAAAATTAAATTAAGCTATACCAACAGACAGAATATTAACCATCTCACCAGCCAGTCTGACAACATATGTTGAGACACAGTCGGTACCAAAAGGGTAATCTGTCACTTAAGTAACACCCAGCTACTGTTAAGACACTGTGACCCAAAACACCACCTTCAGCTCTCGCATGTCACGTAGCTTATTACAACAGAAGGCTTACCTTCATATTTTGGATAGCCCAGGTTCAGTTACCTTGAGAACAAGCTATTCTAGGACATGATTACAAGTAAATAAAAGCTACATCTGCAAATAAATTGTGATCTACTGTGTCCTTGTATTTGCTGCTTGCCTTCCCACCATGACCTTAACTGTCAGAAAATTTTCCGGCATTGATACATGCCATGCTAAATTAAACTACACAAAAATCAGGCCCATTTATTCGAACACGCCTGTTTCGGCATGATACTGCCAGTGTAGCATAATGAATCACAATAAACACTGTAAATTACAACTTCCAATATTAAAGTACATTCTTCATAATTTCCTCAAAGGCACATTTTGCTGCAATGCTGTCGACTAGGTCCTAACCTGAAATTCTCAATATAGTTGTTTAAAATGTTCATCCGTACGTACAGCACGCATACAGTTTCCTAATAAAACTAGTTAACTTCGTCATCAACAATAGTGTATTTACAATGAATAATAATGTAACCTTGGCTTACCTTTCGCCTTCTGTGTTGGAAATAACCTTTCGGCTTTAAGCAAAAATTTCTCGGCTTTGTCCTTCTTTCCTTCCAAAATAAACCTCTCAGCGAATTCAATACACCTTTCTGCTTCATCTTTATTCCCTTCCATCATTTTGCCTTCATAAGCAGGCACACAACTTCTAACGCACTAAACTTACCAACCTTACTCACATAACTGACGTAACAAATTGTCAGCTGACGACAACCAATAACGATCCCAGACGACTGTTTCAACAATTTACTACGTATGTCTTCCTCACATGACTATTGAATTCTAACAGTAAACAAACACAATATTTTTCAAGCCAAATATATTCCTTGCTGAATTAAGTGAGTATAATTTTTGGAATAAATTTGTAATGCATTCTGCTGTAGGTCAGAAATAAATAACACTGTGAGTCCAGTAGTACCTCTCTGTCGTCACGAAAATTGTTGAGTCATTAGTATGTGTACAGTTATTGTAATTATGTGGTTACGCAAATCAACGTTGATTGGGCGAAATGTACTGAATTATTTTTACTAATTTTATTTTGGAAAATAAATGTATATACAAAAAAGGCCTAAGCAATGCCCATCCGGCCCTCTATAGTACAGTCTTAGAAACATCTTATTCTATTAACAGCTGTGGCCCAGCGATTTTTGAATCCATCTAACTTCACAATTATTACAATTTTATACACTTACCTTTTTTATTTTGAAAAAATAAATGTATATTCAAAAATTGCCTGGACAATGGCCATCTGGCCCTCTGTAGCACAATCTTATACAACTTATTCTTTCATAGCGGTAACGGGCGAGTTTTTAATGTATCTCTCAACTCTGTAAGAGTATACTACTATTTTGTACATTTACGTCTTTTTATTTTTTAATACATTTAGGAATTTTGTTTATGAAGTAACAAATCTTTTCCCTCTAGCCTTAAGAACTCTGTAACTGACTTTGGGTATTCTTTTTTGCTGTTCTCAGAAAAAATGTCCATCATTATTGCCCTTTGGTCCTTGTACAGTTTACAACCAAAGGATATGCAAGGGGGGGGGGGGAACACGCACACACATATATGCCTTCCCCTTTCCACATGAAACATTGCAATGAATAATTTTGTGTTACTGAGATATTTATTATTTTCTGTCCTATTAATGCAACTTTCGCAAAAGGCTGCGTGGTTATTGCAACACTAATATTTCCTGTCAAGCCTGTAGACTGTTGGTGTGCTACGTTTGATACCTCTTGTTTCAGCCTTATAAGATCACCATTCTCTACTGTTTATGTGATTGCTGGACTGCACTGCTGTTCTAAAATTTGGTTAGAACTAGTTCCAAATGCTGCTAAATTTTCTTAGAACATATTATTATAATACAAGTTTAAAGCATGTTAATGTTTATTTAATTTTCAATGCAAATAAACTGATAACAAAAATGCTAATTGTTAAATTTAACATATGAAATAACATGAGTCACTCAATCTCTTTACAATTCTACTATTTCATATTGTGACATGTTGCGCACCGGAGAACCCCCCCCCCCAGCACTGAATGAGTTAAGTTCCCAATCTAGCCAGCAGAGGGTTAACGTGTAGTCGTCGCTGAGTTCAGCAGTTGTTGTCAGTTAAAGTGTATCAGCGCTGAAGACAGTTCTCCAGTCAGCAGCCTACAGTTGGAGCATAGCAGCGTTCGCGGAAAGAAGAACTGGACGTGTGTGTAGTTGTGTAATTGGGAACGTGTGATACAGTTACACTTGTATAGCTCCTGTACTGAATATGTGTAGACTACTGAAGACAGAGTGAACTGATTTGCGAATAGGGTTATAAATCACGAAACCCCACAACTGTGTTATGATTAATTGTAGCCGATACTTGTAGGTTGTTAAACAAACCAATTAACAACCCGAACGGCATCTTCAGTAATGAAACACGTTACAATATTTATATCACTGAGAACTACTTTCCAGTGTATTAAGCTTCATAATTATACACCTGCATTACGAATTGGGAAATGCCAATTAGATTAGCCAGTTGCAAATAAAACAGAGATATTATCCAGTCTATATAGCATTCAGAATTTCTTGGAAATTTGTGGAATTTCAACTATGTCTGCTTAAGGGTAGGCAACTGGTAGGATGACTGTGCATTATGAACATTACAACACTCGCAGCTAAGAAGGGAACACACACCACAAGACACGGTTTACGCAGAATACAAGAAAAACGAACCCCACAGAGGAAGAACCGCACACAAGTTTTAATTATGACACATAAGATGAATAATCTTAACAAGTTTTAGTGTGTGTAAATTTATTACAGTTGACAAATACGCACTTTTTAAATACTTTTTAAATAATTTTATAAAGGCAAGCAATGAAATAGATTAGCATAATTAGGGCACCTGATGATGGCACTATGTTGCCGAAACATGTCGTGAAATAACAGGTGAAACTGAGTGCACTACAAGACGGCAACTGTATACATATCATGGATGAAAATCAGTGCAACAGGACGCTAAAATACAACATTATGAATAATTATGCAGTTTTATTGTCTTAAACATAATCCTTTATACATTCATAGGTAAATGATGCAACAGCTTCTTCCTGAACTCACTGGATAGGACAGAGTGATTTATATTATACTCATTGCTTCACATTTTTAAAGATGTTTTATTTGTAGCTATACAGCTTTTTGTAATTACTTTGATATATACTGGAAATACAACAAAATAAAACAAGACAACATCAAAGTCTAAAGGTTTATCCATAGTGGTTTATTGAAAATTACGTGGTTTTTAATATATTCAAACAGGGCTCAATAGTATTAAGTCTGAGAATCAACTGCACTGCATAAATACATTTTCCCACTCACCATGGAAAACTTAACAGAAGCGAACAGCATATATGCTTCAAGCTTCAGTATGAACATATCAAAATTTAATGAATCATTATGTGTGAAATGCAGATGGCAAATTAAAGAATGATTACTTCCATTCCACAAGTTGACATTTAATATTATAAAATAAAGAACAAGTGGGTTTTGTAAAGTAGATTTCGGTTTCAGTTCTGGAGCCCTGAATTCAAAATACAAAAAGAATGGGTCATAATCATTAAGCAAAAAGACTAAGAGATAAATCCTGTGGAATTATATTATTATTTTTATTAAGAGTATCATAAAGTAATGGTGATAATTTTTATGTGTACTCTGGATTTTTGGTCAGCATGAAATATAAGCCTTTGGTAGGGAAGTACTGTGTTGTTAATGCAAGCTGAATACATATCCTGAAGTGTGTAGGTGTATTATATTTCTTCAGAAGTATGTTATATGCAAAATATTTCTGAAAACTAGTTAGCTCATGTGCACTGACATAATATACGTATAAAACAAAAGTTGAACAAGATCATGTCAATACGAACAACTATAAACATCTGAAAACAGAAAATTAAAAGACTGAAACTTCTCTGATGTCCAAAGTATATAAATGTAACACTTAATCAACTCCACTGCTTGCTCCAGTAAGTGGTGCAACCTTTACAATAGCTATGAATTACTGACATAGGAATGCACCATCCATATTTGTTAAAGTCTCTTGCAAGAGTTCTCAGTATCTGCACTATTTCATTTGCACATCATTTTACACTAGACAAATCAGCATATAATGTGACAAATGGAGTTGATATACTAGTTATAAACACATGCTGTATCAACCAAACAAAATTAACAATTAACAAGTAACTTTCAGGAAGGCGTGTATTTATTTTTAAAAGAGAAGTTACAAGCTGCTTCCTAATCACAAACTGTTGTATAATATGTTGAAAGTAAGCTTATGGGAGCAAGGCCTGTATTATCCAAATAAGAATCCTGAAAATCATGTGCCCTTTAATGCAATTAGCTTATTCACTGGTCATTTAAATATAAAAATTATAATTTGGGGAAAATGGAAAACGCAGCATAATAAAGACAATGAAAGTTGCTATATGATAATCAAATGAAGTTTTTTTTTGTTAATCTGTTTTCAAGCATAACCAGTGGTTATGTAACTTCGAAGGTCACACAATTGTAAAAATAATTTTCAAACAATTTCACAGAGTTATTTTTATCACATTTCTTAACAGAGTATGATACTGATGTGCCACACAGTCTTCATATTAAAGGTGGATATTCATCAACAGTTCTGCAGAGCGGACACACTCTCCCCTTTTGAAGCCATCTAGATATACACTGGAGAAGAAGAAGAAAAAAAGATTCTGTTGTTATATCATCCTCATGTGTTCTTAAGACAACGGTGGGAATTCATCAGCCATACGTGTGAACAAGCGGCAGATTGGGCAAACACTCTCAGTGCGAAGCCACTGTCTTATGCACTGTTGAAAGAGGAAGATAACAAAATTAAACTGCAAAATATACATCGGTAATAATTCATTTTAAATTTCATGCACCAAACTTGCTTATGCTACAGCTGCATTACTATTCCAACTACCTATTGAAGAACACAGTGTGAATTCCACGTATGAATACAGTAAAACTTGGTTATAGCAACATCGGTTTCTGCGACACCTTGTCTATTGCGTCAAATATTCAATGGTACGAACTAATTCTTCATAAAGCAACTGTTTTTATACCTTGCTTAGTACGACATGCACAAATGCATGAACCTCGTATGTAACGTCATTTTCATTCCTGAATTTCTCTGATATGGACATTGAACGTAATTTAGAGAGTGTGTATTGGGCAAGTAACAGGAAACAGATGAAGATAACTGATTACTGTACTCGTATCTAGGTACAGTAAGGCACAACAATTGATGTAATCTACTGTAATTTGGTGAGTAGGCCTACCTTTAATATACAGTATTAGTGCGGTGTGTATTGTCAGTGAAAAGCGCTGTAATATGTCTTTGATATTACACATTTGGGCAATTCCACGTTAATGTTACGTTAGTCTGTACTTAACTACGTATTTCACTAAAAAATGCAACATTTTAACTCGGTTTTTGGTAGATTTTTACGTGACTAACATAAGGCTACTGTGGAAGTGCCCATTTCGGTTACAACGACATTCGTTTATAACGACACTATTTTTAGGTCCCTTTGATGACGTTATAACCATGTTCTACTGTATATGAGTATGTTTATGTAAATAATTTGTTCGGCTGCACTAATGCTGGTGAGGAACACGGCTGAAAATATTTTAAAATCTCTATATACAACCCACTATAATATTTCCCTAAAACAAAACAAAACTTGGCTCATGGAAATTTGTATTGTTGTGAACTAGTATGACAGCGCTGTGGTTTTACCAATGGGAACCATGGGACTGCAACACTTGAAACACTCGTTACTATCATGCACATTTTGCCATCATATATATATATATATATATTTACTGGTATCTTATACAGTATATAACAAAGTAGTGAATGTTGACTGAGTAAAGTAAAGTAAAGTGAAGTAAAGTAAAGCAAAGCAAAGCTATCCCTGTAACAGGCCGTGAAGGCCCATAGGGTTGTGAGACATTGAGGGTCCCACATTTTCTAGACAGTCGGCTCAAAGATGGCGGTAAGGTTGTCAGCTTTACTCCCCAGGAAAATTATTTCTTTAATTCCTGGTACTCATTTCTGTTAGAGGGTGAGTGAAAAAAATCCAATGAACCCACGACCTTCCGACTTGTAGCATAGTGCCTTAACTACTATGCTACCATGTGTCCCTGAATGTTGACTAAAATATGGATTATTTTTGTTTGGTTCTGCCAAGCTAAGCTAAAATGGTGGCAGCTGTGGAGGTAAATTACAGAAGTGACTAACAATATGGGCATAAGGAAAGGAAGTAGACAAGCACCATATGAAGAATAAGTACATGGCAGCACATCAAAGAAGACATTTATCTTTGTAGTGAGTGTCACGAGAATCTGAAATCTCATAAAATCACAATATCAGTCTCACGTATAAATTCTCAGTTATTAGTGTTAATACCATATACCAGGCATGTGCAACTTCCAACAGGCTGATCGACTTTTCAGTGTCAAAACTGCCAGTGATCTATCACCTCCTCCTATCATCGTACCTCGCTTTAAACAAAAATATTGGTAAAAATAACACAACACATGAAGTTTGTTGTAAAAGCAACATACATTGAAAGTACAGACTACTTTAACATGTATTTTCCCTTCAAAATCTGAATATAATATTATATTACAAGTGAATTTACATGCTTTTCACGTATAATTTCTTTATAGGTATATGAAATCGACCAAAAATCGTCCCGCGTTCGAGGTGTTGGACATGCCTGCCATATACTATCCCTTAAATCAATTCTCTGCAATCACCATAACATCCATACAAATTATGCAATATCTGGCAAACTGTGGCATATCTCAATGCACATCTCATGTATCCACAGATTATTAGCATGAGAACACCACTTTCGAAACACAATGTTCTGCTTCCAGCATAAAAGCAGAAACTACATCACCTAGAATGTCAATTTGAAGGCACTGAGATGTAGATGCACTAGCCCGAACCTAACTGCTCCAAAATACAGAACTAGATACAACAATAATGGCAGTGAAGAATCTAGTAACTGTAATATGCAGCTGATTTTCCCAGAAATTTCTGAAAGATGTTTGATATTCTATGCATTTTTCCTTCATATGCGAATACTACAAGGCATTCTATTCTTTAACAAAAATATAAGTGAACAAAATCTGGACTCCTTTTGTAAATACAATATTTCTAAATAATATAGTGAAGATCTACTGAAAAAGAGACTGAACATGACCTCTGAAGCCACTATGGGTACATGAGGTTAGCCCAGTTCATTGACTATTTCAGTCTTTTTTATGGTAAAGTACATTTTCATATTTATTAAACAAATAACCAATGCCACAGCATAAGCAAATAAGGCAGTTCTCTAACAGGTGTTACCTTGACCACCTGCTTCAACACACCAGCATGCTGCCAAATCTTTCTATTATTTACATTCTCAAGAAAAACTGCATTACTTGCAGAAGAATGCAAGTACTCATTTCTGTTAGAGGCTGAGTCGACCCCAGGGCCATAGTGCGGCTGGAAGGATTAGGTCAATTGAAAAAAATCCAATGACCTCATCAAGACTTGAACCCGCGACCTTCCGGCTTGTAGCATAGCCCCTCAACCAACTATGCTACCGCGTGGTCAGAAGCAAAATCCAATGCTTAGCCAGCTGGACCACACACACATGCACCATCACAATTATTATTATTATTATTGGAGGGGGTGGGTATCCCCATGCACCGCGACCAGTGGTCTATTGTACGTCCCCCTGTGATATTCTACCAGTCTCTATACCCTACCAATACAGGTGCGTGCCATCAGTCCCGACTCAGCCAGCGAGTTCGGCCTCTACTGGCTTAGCGGTATCTAGATGCTTCCCCCATCTACCAGAGGCGTTAGAGACTATTGTTGGGCAGGAAATGTCCTTATAATTTAGCTCAGAGGCCTCCTAGAGACATGAGGTTCTTTTACGTGCTGTAAAGCTACGACACGGGACCCATTGCTTAAAGTCCCTCCCGGAGGACCTGTTCCCTGAATTTTTCCGCCCTTAAAAATTCAATGACCTCCGCCGGGTTTGAACCCGCGTACCTTGAGTCATGAGGTGGGAACGTTACCCCTAGACTACGGAGGCCAGCCCATAAGGCTGACAACCTGACCACCATCTATGAGCCAATTGTCTAGAAAATGTGAGAACCTCAACATCTCACAACCCTATGGGCCTCCACGGCCTGTTACAGGGATACCTTTAATTTACCTTTTTTACTTTTTAAATGTTACTTGCCACTGCATGGGACAAGAAGCCATGTTATGCAATGCAACACTTTTAACACAAAGCTGTACAACTATTTTCTCACCTCAGTGTGGAAAGAATGTTTGCAATGTAGGGAGGTCAGGTCTTTCTCCATTGACTCAAAACAAATAATACAGTCATCCTTTGAAGTCTGATTTGATTTTGCCCAGCCTGACGCAGACTCTTGCACTCCACCCCAGGCAGCACCACCAAATCTGTCCAGACCCATTGAACCTGCAAAAAAATACATTACATAAAACACTACTGACTTGGATAGCCTATATATAATGTACTCCATAGTTCTTTCACCAATTTTAATAATTTATATAATACTTCTGTTATTCAAGGATTACCATATAAGTTTAATTCATTTTAAGGTCCACATTACTAAAGCCTTAACCCCTTGGAGCCTGTGCAAATGGAGCTCGCTACTGTGGCAAAATGCCATGGTGCACTTTGAGACAGACTAATCTTCTACTTAGAACTGAAAATGATGACACAGTTAAAAATATTTCAGAGAGAGAGAGAGAGAGCAGCCTCCATCCTTTGAGAAATTAGGAGCAAATATGTTTACCATATAATAATGTGACATGTGCGAAAAGCCGAGCGCCCCCCCACACCAGCAGTGACGCGGTGGGTGAGTCAGCGCTCCCCTCCCACCCCTCAGCGGTAACGTAACGCTCCTGTAATAGGCGAGTAATCACCCCGCAATGCGCAACGCGCGGTGACGTCACGAGCGGAGCCGAAGAGAGCCGAGCGGAGCCGAAGATAGCCGAGCCCCGTAACCTGGCAACTACGCAATGCTAATCAACAGCGGTGACGTCACGC